GTCAATCGGCTGGCGCGTATGCAGCGGTGGCACTACACAAAAGTTAAAGGTGGTCACATAGGCCTGTAGTCCTCAAAAAGCACAAGACAGCTTTAACTGCTTTTTGAGCCGACGAAAGGCAATAACGGTGTTCCAGTAGCATCTGCACAGAGAGTGGCCGATCGTCCAATTGTCGCAATGCGTCCGAAAGCTTCTGTCTTTCAGAGGCAAATCGAGGGCAATGACATATCAGATGGTCGATGTCTTCTTTGGTGCAGCAGACGTCGCATTCCGCATTGTCGGTCAATCCAATGAGGGTTCTATATGCTTTTGTGAAGGCAACCCCCAAACAAAGGCGACAAAAAAGTGAAGCTTCACGTCGACGATGTCCGGATGGAGGTCGAAGTTCCAGTCGAGGGTTTATTTGGTATAGTCTCGTATGTCTTATGCTTGGGGTGTTCCACTCCTGCAGACTCAGACTACGTGCCAGGTGACAAAGTTGCTTTGCAGCGTCAGTCCTTGACAAAGGAATCGGAAGGGTGTGTTCTTCTTGGTGCGATGTGCGAGCCGCATTGTCTGCGGAATCATTGCCACTGATCCCACAATGGCCAGGAAGCTACTGAAACTTGACCTCGTGGCCTGTTTCTGTGACGTGGTGAACAAGCTTGACAACTTCGTAAGTTAATTGTTCATGGCAACCTCGTCGAAGGACTGACTGCATGCTCCGTAGGGCTGGTTTTGAGTCGGAAAACACAGCCCATTTACTCGGTCTTTGGGATTTGATGTACTCTATGGCGCCACGCAAAGCCACAAGTTCTGCCGCTGTGGACGTAGTGACATGTGACAGTTTGATTACGCAGAGTAATTCCTCTAGCTGGAATCACGACCGCACCACCAGAACCAGACGCTGTGGTTGAACCATCGGTGTATATGTGCACTGTGGTTGTTGTACATATCGTGCAGATGGCTCAAGCTCAATTGTTTTAAGGCTGATGAAGGCAAGTTTGATTTTTTCTGTATTCCTGGAATTGAAACACGTACTTGTGGAAGAGGTCAGGCACCACGGAGGATACACCAGTTTTTCAGCAGGCGTAAAACCTGACGTAAATGACGCACGATGAGCGCAGACAATTGCACTAAATTTCGTGCGGGGTCTCTCAGTAGCGAGGGTTGCCAAGTGGTGGGAAGGATTCCTAGCATGTTGCCTGAGGTACGTACGCATCGTTTCAATGGTGATGTGCGTCATGATCGTGTAGTCCTGTGCAATGGCAATTGTTTCAGCTGTCGATGCGCAGCGGGGTAAACCAAGGCATATCCTAAGCGCTTGGGCTTGAATATTTTGGATTGTGCGCAGGTTCGTTTTGCACATGTTAGATATAACAGGTAGGCTATACCGCAGGAATCCAGTAAATAATACCTTGTACAGCTGTAACATAGACTCGACAGACATTCCCCAACTTTTCCCAGCAAGAAACCTGAATAAGTGACAAATGGCAGTCAGCCACTTTTTCACGTAGTTTACGTGGGGTGTCCAAGACAGGTTTCGGTCGATTACGACTCCCAAAAACCTGTGACTCCGGCTGTGTGACCCCAACTGCCCGTTAATTGATATGCCGTAAGCGGACATTGGTTTTCTGGTGAAGGCCACGACTGCACACTTCTCACTTGCGATTTCAAGCCCTTGTTTGCGTAAGTGGTACGATGTCACTGATGCTGCCTTCTGAAGTCGAGCGCGAAGTTGAAGTCGAGTCACACCTGATGTCCACACACAGATGTCATCAGCATAAATGGAAAGTAGTACACTGCTTGGTTGCTTGCCAACTAGTTCAATGAGTGTTAGGTTGAACAGCGTCGGGCTTAGCACTTCGCCTTGCGGGACTCCTCGGCTGCAGTAATACTCGGGTGTCGGGCCATTCTCTGTCTGCACGTGAAATGATCTATTCTGTAGGTAGCTCTGAACCCACGTATATATCCTGCCACCGAGTCCCACTCCTTCTAGTGTGCTGAGAATGGCTTCGTGGGTGACATTGTCATAGGCCCCTTCAACGTCAAGAAATAGAGCAGCAGATAACCGTTTGCAGGCCTTCTGGTGTTCTACATATGTCACCAAGTCAACTACATTGTCAATTGACGAGCGGCCTCGTCTGAACGCGGTCATGGCATCTGGATATATTTCGTAGAACTCTAAGTACCATTCCAGACGCATAAAAACATCCTTTCCATAACTTTTCCCACACAGCTCGCGAGGGCAATCGGGCAGTAAGAGGAAATGTCCAAGGGTGACTTGCCGGCTTTGAGAAGTGGAATCAGGCAACTTGACTTCCATTCCTGTGGAACCATGCCAGTTTGCCAGGAGTCGTTGTACAGCTGCAAGAGTGCCTGCCGAGCTTGATCTTCTAGGTGACACAGAGCGCGGTAAGTAATGCCGTCAGGTCCTGGCGCTGAAGAACGTCTACACAAAGCAAGCGCAGCCTTTAGTTCGTCCATTGAAAACGAAATCTCCATTCGGGGATCACGTGAGGATACAGAAAAGTCGGGCGTCTTTGTCCCAGTTGAATTTGAGCCGCAGGCAATCCTTCGACAGAAGGAATCTGCGACATCAATCTCTTCGCAGCGTAAGTGAAGTGCCAGAGATTTTAATGGGTAGCGCTGAGTAATGGTTGTACGAAGACCCCGGACAGTTCTCCAGATTAGTGACAGAGGCTTTCTGGGATCCAAAGACTCCCAAAAAGATACCAATCGTTGCTTGTCCAACTTGTCCATGTGACGCTGTATTTTCTTTTGTGTGATGTAAGTAGGCTCCGATGATGGTGAATGTGGTCTTCTTGTTTTTTACTGTTAGGCAAACGTACTGGTTTTCTTCGTCAGGAGGTACAGGGTGATGAACATAAGTTAAGTCGCGCCGTATGAACACAACAACCTTGCTGCACTCTCCGTGGGTAGAAGGCATAAAGCACTCATATCCAGACAGTCTCATCTGGGCTGACAGGTTCGGTTCACAAATCACAATTATGTAGAACTGGTTCGTGAATACATATTGCCGGAGCTCGGACATCGCGCCCTAAGTCCTCTGGCATTCCACTGAAGGACAGATGCGTTCTTGACCTCCTCGCGAAAGAATAACATGTTGCGAGCCATCATTTTACCTTAGAGCTGCAAGCACCGAACTCAAAGTGTCCAGCACTTGGAGTGCCCTCTGCGCTGATGGGGTGTTCATGTTGCTTAGGAGCATGTGCATTGCGCTCATAAGGGTCTGCAACATGTTGATGACCTGGCGATCCTCAGTTGTCTTTTCATCAGTGGTTCGTGATGGCATCGAGGTTGGCGGGGATCGATGCACCTCTGAAACAGGCTGTGTTCGTGGAAGTGATGGCCACTCTTCACGAGGTGGGAGTCTTGACCCTGATGCTGTTTTCGGTGTATCCGTCTTCGCAGAGCTTGACGATGGGGGGCCAGTTCTTCTTGCTTGAGATGACGGGTCTCTATCGGCAGATGCCACGTCAGATGCCACGGCAGATGTTGCGTGATGATCTTCTGTGGTGACGCCGATGTCGCCTGACAGTTGCAGTGGCTTCCCTGTGCGTTGAATTGTCGCGCACCATGCGTTTCAGCACCGCGCGTTCATTTCTCGCTCGTGGGCAATCTTTAGACGACGCTTTATGAGCGCCGTGGCAATTGGAGCATTTGAACGCAGTTGCGTGGCAGGTGTCTTCTGAATGAGGTTCGGCACACCGCGGGCACACGACATTGCTGGTACATACTCCTTTGACATGTCCCATCTTGAAGCATCTGAAGCATTGTAGGGGCTTCGGTATGTATGGACGGACCTGATGGCGAACATGGCCAACTTTGACGTGTGGGGGAAGACTGTCTCCCTCAAAAACAATCTTCAGGCATCGTGACTGACCAAGCCTTGTGATGTGCTTGATGAGGATGTCGTCTGTAGTTGGCTTTATCAAGATTGGGAAATCGTCAGCGGGAATGGAAATGTCCACGTCATAAATGACGCCAACTCTGCCCTTACAGTCAGTGGGGATCACTGATTTAACTGTGACTCTGACGATTTCCGAGATGTTCTGTAGGCTTTGCAGCGCACTACGGTGTAGAACATCAACTGCCAGAATATTCTTCCGTGAGTTGATCCTGACGTCTTTAATTTCGTTTGGAGCGAGTCCTTCGAGGTATGCAGAGAGGACTTGCCTGTTAAGCTAACCTAAGTAGGTAACAAGTTAAGGAGATGACTCCAAGAGTGTCAAGACGTAGGCATATAGATAGAAATGATCAGAGTGCCTATGGTTCGCTAAGAAATGCTTTGCACTTAAAACATACAATCCCTACTGTATCCAAGTGCTTATCAAGCTGGTCATAAAGAGCAGGACGAAAAACTAGCCTGCAAAGAAGCTAAAACTGCACAGTTACTCGTAATTGAAATATGCATTCCATACCGTAACATCATAATGCAAAGACATTTATGAAATTAGAAAAGCCTCTAAAATACTATTGTCTTACAGCACTCTATTCACCTACTGTGCGTACAAAGAAATTCAGTGTACAGACAGACAAACGAAATTTTGACAACATAGCTAAAATCTCTAGCATAAAAAAAATCCGTTAGATTCCTAGAAATCTATGAACTTGAAAGAGAAACCACAAAAATTCATTTAAGTAGGCTCTTTTGCTTGGAGTCTATTCCTCCATGAGAAATCATACATCACAACACCTAACATTACTGGCAAGAACCAACACTCTGTGAAAATGGGTAGACCAGCGATGCTGGAACATGCTGCTTTGGTGTTTATCACTGAGTAGATGCCAACTGTTTATTAGTATCTTCCAATTATTGCTTACGTCTTTCCAGAAATCTTCATTGTTATTTGTCCCTATTGGACATAGGTGCCTTTGTTAAGGCACATATGTGCAAAGAGTTTTTACCCAGATAGGACCAGATTATCTGTGGCTTTGCTCAGCCACAAATGGCAGTGCTGCGAAAACAACACAGCTCAGCAAAATCGTCTAATTACCATTCCATTCGCTCCGAAGGATCCTATGTGGCGTGAGCCACTACATCTCGAGTTCTTTTCTGAATCACTGCTCCCGTTCATTTCCTGGTCATTGTCCGGCTCGGCTGATTCAGGCTCGGCCGATTCAGGCTCGGCTAATTCAGGTTCAGCTGAAAGAAAAAAAAATGCTGCAGATTCTGAAATTAGGTGCCACTATCTAGTTACCAAAATTTTGCATGTTGGCAGCCCTACCTAGTATCTAGTAGTCTCTTCACGGTATCTAGTACAGTCGAGTCCATATATAACAGCCCCACTTAAAATGAACAATACCCACGTGACCGTGGAAATATACAGGAATATTTCAATGGCACAAAATAACACTTACAATGAACATCTCTGAGTGCTGCCGATCAGTTACAGCAAACGGAGTTGGAGCTTCAGCAACTTCTGAGGACATCGCTTTCAACCACCAATAAGGTATTGGTGAGGTGCCCATAGGTTCTTATTGTTAAACGTCAACCCTGCCTCCACAGCCCTGCCTCCTAGCTGTTGGTCTCCTCGAATGTTTTTTGTCACACACTCTTCTGTCCATTTCCCCCCCCCCCCCGCCACTCTTTTATATTAGGCCCCTGTTTTCACACTGCCACTGATTTTGCGAATACCAGTCGGCTGACTAGTCTACCCTTAGTTTTTCATCACTAGTCTTGTAACACTGTCAGTGGCATTCCTGGCCTAAAGTGACCAGACCATCTGACAACATTGTCAACCGCCGACTGTACTCAATTGTATGTACCTGTGTCTTGTCTGGATCAGTGCCGTATCGTTCCAGTGGATGCCCTTGCACTAGCCCACCAACTTCGATAATTTGCGATTTGATCCATGTTCAGGACCTGTTTTCACACACTTCGCACTCCACCCAGCATGCCCTCTACATAATGTAGAACTGTAAAAACGGCTGAACGGCTGTTACATGGAATGAATAGCAGATTATCGAAGTTGGTAAAGTCGCACAATCCCGCCAGTGCCACAACACGATTCTTTGATTTTTACGCGCACAGGCCACTCTCCCAAGTTTTCCTACACATGAGTTGTGTGTTTTGTGGACCTTTTGATGCAAGCTACTCGACCTGCCTTCTTTCCGCGTTTTGGTTTCCAAGGTCGCCTTCCCACTGTATGTTCTCCTCTCTTCACTCTATCGCAACGCTTTTGCCTGTCTCTCACTAATCTGCTCTCCTCTCTTTATTGCAACTTTTCCGCTTGTCTCCACCACTTCACGACACAGGCCACGCTGGCTCGAATTAAGTTTTTTTTTTTACGGCTAGAAACAAGCCCAGCGCAGTTCCACGCATTCTGGCTCGTCTGTCGCTTGTGCACGTCTTGCTCTCTGTTGGTGTGCGTGTGTGGTCAGGATGGTGGACGGAAGGCCTTCCGCACCATTTCCTGCCGCTCAACAAAACGTCCAAAGTACAATCGCTTAGCTTGGGTGTAGTCCGCATGTTCAAGACTTAATATAGGTGCCTCGCTGTGGAACACTTCCTCATAACTTTTGATTGCCAGGCAGCGCACTTGCTGCTTCAAGTGTCCTTGTATTCAGCCGTGGAGATGGTGAAGGCTTCGTGGGCGGAGGTGACAGCTACAATGTGTGCAAAACTCTTGTTGCAAGGCCAACTTCCTCGACTGTCTGAACCAATGCCAAGCCTGAAGTTTCCAAACAGGACCACTCCGGAGGCAATTTGTGGCAGTACATCATTGACTCCGACAAGGGAGGGTGGGACTGCTGGGGTGGTTTCATTACAGCAAATGATGATGCTGACACTGCGAAACCATGCATGGATGAGGGCATTCTGAATGAAGTGCGCGGCAAGAGCGATTAGGTGAAATCAGATGACGATGAGCCAGTGCCCACAAGCACGCCTGTAGCAATTAACTACCTGAATAACCTCGGCCAGCTTGTATATGCCAAGGGCCTCAGCAAGAGCACGCTGTTGCTTAATAGAAACTGGAGACCACCCTAATTGCTTCTGCTCTTCTAAACACATGCATCATGAACTTTTTGAAAAAAAAAAAAAAAAAGAATTTTGTATTCTCACTTGCAACTTTTTAAAAGCGGCATTTCATTTACCACAAACTTCAGGATACAACGAATGGATGCTGTGTCATGATCAGGTTCGTTATGAGCGGGCTCGACTGTACTGTTGAAACCAGATATAGCATAGTACCTAGTATATTTGCGGAATCGCAGATATAGAGATGATAGAGAAATACCATACCTAGTTAAGTAATGATCGCACCTTTGCATTTTGCAATAAGAATTAGATTGATTGTTTATTTCTACATAATGATCACCCTTCTACCCTGGGGTGCAACAAGACGTTTGCAGGTTTCCACGAGCTTGTGATGGTCCTTGAGCTATTATTTCATCAGGCATGTCACGTGGTAAAAAATATCTTTGGCACAGGAACTCTACATTTCGAGTTGGCAGCCAGAATTAAATTATTCAGCAGAATTCTCGAACCCTTACGATGATTCCCTTCAGAAATGACCCATCCCATATGAGGTGCGAAAAAAATCTATCAATTGCCAATGTAAGCTGACATCTTGTTTAAACCCCCTGCCCCTTTTCAACCTTCTTCAATGTCCTGGCCCTTCTGGTAGTCCACTATGTAACTTAGGTGGGCTTGAGAAACCGTTCCTACGTGGGTGACTCTGTCACAGATTTTTGAAATATTTTGGAAGTAAGAAAGCGTTAATAGCGTGATGTTTCGCAATGTGTTTCCCACGGAGCAGGGCAGATGACGCCACTGTCCCATGTCATGCATTGACAGCGCAGTTCGCGGAGCTCACAATCCACGGTTAGTTCAGTTAGTCGCCAGAGCCAGGTAGGCTGGTCACTTGCACTTCTCTGTTATGCAAGAGAACGCAAACGTCACACATAGTAGCCGAAAATTCCCTCCCAGTAAGGCCATTACGTATGCAGTGATGCTATTCAGGCCTTCTCATTCTAAGCAATTTTCGGAGCAGCAAAAGTTTCATTTTGGAGCAGCTTAGAACAGCAAAACATTCCATTTCGGAGCACGTAATTTTGCATGGGGGAGCACTCTGTATTAGCCAACTTCGCATCCTGCAATATACTGTAGAAGCAAGCTACATTTACACTCAAGGATGTGAATACTAATTTGGAGCATCTGAGAAGAGCTTGAAATATTTTAATGCATTGTGAATCTCACGGAGCCAATCATCTTGTAAGCACTCCATATTTCAGTTGATGATGCAAAAATAATAGTGTCATGCTGTGCAGCATTCTGAAAAAACTCCTCCAGCAATTATTTTCATAGCAAACAAACAGAATAGTGATTCAATAAAATTGTACTTCGTGAAATCACATTCTAAATACACCTATGCGGTTATCAGCAGAGACGGTAGTCAAAACAGTGACATACAATGCTAGAGACCCACACCACCCCAACTTCATTTCATCAAGACGACTCCCAGGAGAAAGAGGTGTTTTTTTTTCTTCACAATCAAGTCACTGCCTGTCACCATCATGTTTTGTGCAACGTCCAAATTAATAACACCCCCCCCCCGTGTATTTATTTATTTATTTATTTATTGATTCCTCAAAGGTCCCATAGGGACATTACATGAGGGGCATTACATGAGGGACATTACATTATTTTTTTTATTGCGATAGCAATTATATGAATACTCTTTGCTGGATTTTGCCACAGGCGTCGGTGTTGTCGTCACTCACCGTATATGTACACGTATCTATATATACGAAAATGCAAGGAAGGAAAAAAAACCCAGAAAAGACTTTGGCGCCCGGAATCGAACCTCTGCGTCATGAATGCATGGCGTAAACCACTGAACCACCGGAAGGTACCTCCTTCAATGTTCAAACGGCAGGCTATTCATATTTACCACTTACCGCTGTTGAGCGGCATCTTAGTTTTGGGGAACTATGGTGTTTTCAGCATTATCAGCAATATGGCACAGTGAGCGTGCGGCGGCGTTCATCGCTCACGCGTACTTTGACCAGCGTAGAGAATAAGGGGGTGTACGCACGATCGCGCACCTTTATCTTGCAGTGGGGAAAATCGTACCTTATGGCTAGCCTGTAGGTTTTGTCGGAACGATTCTGTTGTAGTTGCCAGGCGCACAAAGATCACTGCAATCGTTGCGCAGCCTCCGTTTGCGAAAAGGGCGCGTTTTTCAGACACAGGGAAGTAACAACTGAGATGCTTATTCGTCCTTCATCTGTACCTGTGAGTATGTTTCATGCGTCATTTGTGCGTGAGAAATGCGGGGCACATTTCGACCTATTTGCCATTCGGCACGAGACCTTCCGATTTGTTGTTTGTTGTTATCGCGTTGATTGCTTCGCCTTTGCGGCAAAGCCATGACTTTTTTGTTTACATGCGGGTAAAATCGCGCAAGTGGGGGTGACGAATGAGGCCGAACACGTAAAAATAGCCGACTTATCTACATTGCACAAAAGGTGCACGTCACAACATTACACCGCGTGCCAGGCCTGCCATCAATTACTACTCAAGCAGACAGGAATATGCCGCCCGTCTTCAAGGAGCATGAAGTAACTAGGAACACAAAGGGGGATTTCTGGGGATTGTGAACTTACGGGTTTAGCAGGCCTTAACTTTAGGATTTAGCAGGCCTTACAGACAGCTTGCGTATTCCCCCACGTGTTGTACACGCAAACCTCATTATAACAACGTTGTATGCTGCATGAAAATAAGTTCGCTATATATAAAAATTCATTATACAGTCGACTCCCGGTAATTCGAAGTCGCTTAATTGGAAGTTTCGGTTAATTAGAAATGAGCAAGTGGTCCCATCAGTTTTGCATGCAATCGTATAGAAAAAAATGCTCGATAATTCGAAGTTAAAAACCCATAATATTGGTCAATTAGAAGTTTTTTCAATCGACAGTCTCGTCGCGACCGTAATTTTACAGTAAAATGGGGAACTTTTCATATGCTAAAACATCTGCCGGACCGCGCTGGTGTCTTCGCCATCACTACTGTCCGCAGCGCCACAGATCTTGAAGCGGCAATCTTTTTAACGCTGGCGAATCGCATCGGCGGCATCGACTGACTCTTTAGTTGACTTTTGTCGAGACTCGAGTGTGTCACCGCGTCACCCGCGCGCTGGG